CAACAAAACAATGCTTATAACAACATACCATAATAAAAGTTACGTGAATGTGGTCTCTTCCTCCAAAATAATGTATTCAATGTAATATTTTCAGAACTTGGTGGACTGTAACTGAAACTGTAGAAAGTAAAACCAAGAATAAGGAAGACTACTGTAATAAACTCGGTCTTCCTTGGCTCCCAGGGAATTTTCACTCTCCTCCTCCTCCAATATCTCCCATACTTTCTTCTCTGTTGTCTTCTCTTGCTTCACTTGCTCCACCAACCAGAAGTGATTAGATGTTTTCCATATTTGGCTTTGACTCTGTCCTCTTTTTTAAAGAAATCACTCTTGATCATGTTACCCACCTCTAAAGCGTCAATCACTAAGGAAAATAAAATCTTGTAAGAATGTGTGTGTAATCGAAGGAAAGGGAAGAGATGTTACATTATCCATCTGATGAGGGCTTCTTACCCCTTTTTAGCCATGGACTCCTTTGACAGTCTGATGAAACCTATGCATCATTCCCTGAATCATGTTTTTAAATTAATATATTAAAATACAAAGGATTGCAAAGGACACCAAAAATGTTAAAGTGACCAGAATATTTTTACAAATACGTTTATGTTATGCTCATGTGTATCCTGCAGTCATATTCACGAAATAACAAGATCCAGTCACTACCACAATTTCAAAGTAGTGAGAAAGACTTGGAAATGTTGTCTGTAACTGTACCACAAGATGAAAACTGTTTATGGAGACAAAATTGCAGAAGTCATTAATATTCTTGTGGTTTGTTGCCTATGTTCATAACCGAAGGGAATTTTACATTTTAGGTAGTGACTAGGGAAAATAAAGATGTAGAATTCAAGTACATAGATCCCCATGAATTCTACCCATAGTCCAACTTTAAGAACACCTGGTCTAAAGATTTCCAAAAAAGATTGGGAATCGTGACTTACTTGTAGCCTAAGAGAAGCATAGGGACAGTACAAAGAAGGGGATGTTATGGAGCCATCTATAATTGTACATTTATACTTATGTATAATTGTACATTATACTATACATTTATATTCCTCCCTTCATATGTTTGGTTTATTTGGGCTTCCTATGTCTCCTCATCTTTCTCCATATACCCTTTATATCATATCAAAGTAAAATTAAAACTAGCTAGTTCTTCATTTGGTGGCAGCTGTTGTGTTTTGGCATTGTTTCGTTGGAAGGATGTTTTTGTTTGTTTGTTGAATTATTTTTTAAATATATCCATCGGTTGTAGGGGAGGCAGAAACTACTGATTATCTGGGATTATTTATCCATGCTATGTCTAGCATCTATTAACATAGATAATTGGGCTTTAAATGTGGATAGAATTAAGATATCCAACTTCAGCCTCTGTCTATTGCCTTCGAAGGCCTCGAGGTGTAGATCAAATAATCCCCTTTCCATCTTGTAACTCTCTCTCCCCTTGGCTTCCTGAAGGCTGCTTCTCCTGGACCCCTCTCGTCTTCCCGCTTCTCTAATAGTCTCTTCTGAATCCTCTCATCAGTTTCACACTCAACCACCAGAAAAATGTAGGCATTTTCCCCACGTTAGGCTTTGGACTGGTTTTCTCACTATCTTTTCTTCTTTGATACTCTCTCTCAATCCCCAATTCACATTCTTTCCCATGTTCCTTGTCACTTTTTTTTTTCTTTTTTTCTTTTTTTTTTTTTTTGAGACAGAGTCTCGCTCTGTCGCCCAGACTGGAGTGAGTGGCGCGATCTCAGCTCACTGCAAGCTCCGCCTCCCGGGTTCACGCCATTCTCCTGTCTCAGCCTCCTGAGTAGCTGGGACTACAGGCGCCCGCTGTCACGCACAGCTGATTTTTTGTATTTTTAGTAGAGATGGGGTTTCATCGTGTTAGCCAGGATGGTCCCGATCTCCTGACCTTGTAATCAGCCCACCTCAGCCTCCCAAAGTGCTGGGATTACAGGCGTGAGCCATCGCACCCAGCCACTTGTCAGTTTTAATGGATCCCAGCTCCCCACCTCCCAGTTGAGATTTTAACGACACCCAACATGTATTCTTTGGACACTCACTGTGCACAATTATACTATAGTATATAGTTATGTTAGGCACTGGGCATACAATTCTGAACCAGCGAAACAGGTTTCTGCCCTCACACACCCTATAATCCATCAAGGAAGGCCTTAATCAAGTAATTTCAAGAGTGAGGTGTAGGGTGAAAGAGGAGAAGCAGGTCACTGCAGAAGTTGATATTAAGGGGATCTAGCCTAGTTTTGGGGTATAAGGAAGCCAATCAGAAGAAGTGAAGCTTCGACTGGAACTTTAAAAGTTAACTGGGAGATGACTCAGTAACCAGTGTAGGAATTGGGATTAGGACAATGCACGTGAAATGCAAAAGTCTAGAAAGAATAACGGGGAAGGAAGAAAAGATGTCAAATATGGCTGTGGTATGGAATCCACAAAGGGCATTTGAATCCAGTGAAGTTGCAGAGAGGCAGGCCAGGCTGGTAAACACTTGTCAATCATGTGGGGGCGGATCAAGGTCGTCATCCTAAAGACAGTCGGGAAGTTTCATTAGGCAGCAGGCAGAGTGTCCGGATTCACAGTTTTAAAAGATTAACCCAACTCTAGTAGGGAAAATGATTTGGAGAAGGGCAGGAACCCATGTGAGGAGACCATTGGAGGTGGTTATGGAGCCCAGTTAAGAGACAGTATGTTGGTTTGCAAGAAAATTTGAGTCTTCATTGTTTCTGCTTTACCTGCCCCTCAAACCTTTAAGATTTGACCTTGAAAATGTCCACTGCATGCTGCTTTTCATTCTCATTGACCAAATTCAAGCTTCTTTTTTTCCCCTGGACTATTGCAGCAGCTTTACTCTCTACTGACTTATCTTCTATTTCCTCTTTCTCCATGCCCGTGGCGTACAGGTGCGCTGTCAGACTTAGTCCCCTAAAACACACTTGGTTGCTCCCAAATGCATCAAAATTAAGTCCAAACTCCTCTCCCTTGTTCACAACCTCTGCAGTGTGGTCCCTACATATGCTTGCAGCTTTCTCCACCATCACAAGCTCCTACCGTAACTTTCCGACTTCACGTTCCCCTTGGCTCACTAACTCACAAATATCCAGACATGCTCTGTTTTACAGACTCCTCCCTCCCTCCTAGACTATCATTCTCTTCCAATGCACTCATAAAAAATTTTCATCTTTGAAGACTAATTTCAAGCCCAGCTTCCTCTAGATTTCAAGCCCAGCTTCCTCCTAGATGTCCCCAATCAGAATTTTTCCTTTCTGTCCATGTTCCAGTGATTATTTAAGTGATGTGTTTTCCCTCTAATTAAGCTTCTTACCCTTGCCTCACCATTTATTAGGGTCTAGCTCCTAGTTGAGTCAGTATGTATGAAAGAGAGGCTTTTCCACTAAATTATAAGTTTCTGAGGGCTAGGGAGATTTGTGGTAGGCATTTCTGTGTTGCACATAGTGATTTGCCTGCCCTGTGCTTATAAAGGCTCAACAAATGTTAAATAAGTTTTTGGGTGGTGGTAGGCTGATCGGACCCCAGAATTGCACATTTATCTGAGTCACATACCCAGAACCCATTCTGGTTGTAATAGTCTAGGTTGATCAAATGCACAGGAACATTTTACTAGCAGTACTGTTTTTGTTTCAAAAGCTGGCTAAATGCAACAAGTCTCAGTAAGAGTAACAATTCAGTATTTTATTGAGAAGTGCTGAATTCTTTGTTGAAAGCTGAAATTTATTCTATAAGTATTTCATGAGCCCTAATTATGTCTCTGGCTTTGTGCATACAGCTATGCAAATCTGTGTCCTGGAAGCACTTAACTGGTATTTTCATAAGGACTTGGGGTTTTTCCATCAAGAATTGCAGGAGGCTGGGTGCAGTGGCTCACGCCTATAATCCTAGCACTTTGGGAGGCCAAGGTGGGGGGATTATGAGAGGTCAGGGTTCGAGACCAGCCTGTCCAACATGGTGAAACCCCGTCTCTATGAAAAATACAAAAAAAGTTAGCCAGGCATGATGGCAGGTGCCTGTAATCTCAGCAACTTGGGAGGCTGAGGCAGGAGAACTGCTTGAACCTGGGAGGCAGAGGTTGCAGTGAACCAAGATCGCACCAGTGCACTCCAGCCTGGGCAACAGAGCAAGACTCCATTTCAAAAAAAGAATTGCAGGAGAATATACATTAATAAATAAAGCTTAATAAAGCTGAAAAAATAGTTCATTCCTTTGGTCAGAAGTTATTTGTCACCTAACCCAGAAGTGAAAACAATGCAGCCAAGGAAAGGTATGACAATACAATGGATATATTGTCAATACAATAAAAAGTATAAACAGAGAAAACAAACTTATTAGAGTATTGCTGATCGCAGTTTATTTAGGGCTTGATTATTACTATAATTTTATCATTTTCTTAGCTCTAATATTAATAAAGCCCTGAAACAAGCAGGTTTTATAATTTTCTTCTCAGTGTCACTTTACACCACAGGCTAGGAAGCATCAATAGATGCTCAGCAGTAATAACTGCATTTATTGAGTTCCAGTATATGCCCCACATTGTTTTAGAAACTGGAGATAGGCAAAACTCAATTTATAGTCTCAAATAGCTTGCAACGTAGTATCTTATATAGGAATCGAATTGCTTCCAGGAAATAATAAAGGAATATATTACTAGAAGAAGATGCTTGTATAGGAAGCTCACAGGTTTTTTTCCAGGCTAGGTTGAAACTGGACATTAGAGACATACTCCGTGATTTTCTGAAATATGAGTGCTAACTATGGGAAAAATAGACCAGAAACTCTCAGAACACAGATTAGTAGAGGTTAAGAGGTTAAATGTAAGAAGACTTTTGTGGAAAAAAAAATGTAAATGATGAGGAGAGAATGCATTCAGAATAAGTAAAGAGTACTTTTTTAGATGTTTGCTGTATGCCTGTATAAAGATCTGTGGCTTCAAATTTGACTAGATTTTGTTTTTGTTTTTCAAAATCTTTTCTAAGAATTGCCCTGGTGGAAAATATTCCTGAAGGCCTTAACTATTCAGAAAATGCACCATTTCACTTATCACTTTTCCAAGGCTGGATGAATTTACTCAACATGGCCAAAAAGTCTGTTGACATAGTGTCTTCCCATTGGGATCTCAACCACACTCATCCATCAGCATGTCAGGTAAGCTACATCCTCTGTGTGTGTGATGATTTTACTTATGTGCATTTTCCACTCCTTAGTATTCTGCTCCTCCACTGCTCAAACTCCAGCTCATTTCTTTTAGTCTACCCGCACCCAGAGTACACATACATTATTATATTTATGTAGATGTGCCATTGTTAATCATATGTCACTCTGCTCCTACTAGAATGCCAGGTTTGCAAGGACAAAATCGTGTTTCATCTTTGCCCACAATCGGCTCTTTATACAGAATTGCTGTGTTGCACAACTTCAGGGCATGCTATTTACGTGATAATCTCTGTCACTGGCATGGTCCAGAATTCTGCTTTGCGCAACCTGCATGTTTACAGGTCTAATTCTGTAACTGCTTGCTGAGGCATTTATTTGGTTAATTTGTGTTACAATCCACTTTTCAAGTTATAATTCACCCACTGCCACTTTTTTTTAATAGTAGAGTGAAATTTCCCAGGATAGTTGTTTTCTCTAGACTGTCATATTTGGATGAATGGGTAAAAGAAATATGCTTATTTCTTTTAAAAAAATAAAGCTTCGGAGAACTACCTTTAGAAAACTGACTTCATGATCTAAACGATTTCTGAATAAAATGCTCTGGGTGTAAGAAAATGGTGCTGGTGATTTTAGTGTGTTTTCTTTATATTGATACAACCATGATAGTTTATATTAAGCTACCCTATCTAAATATGTAGCCATCGGCCTACACTTAAATGTCATATGTAAGTCAAGGGTAAAATAAGTTTTGTTTCCTTTTATGCAAAATGTGTTGGCATTAAGCTTATAATCATGATCTCACTGGTGCTTTGAAAGCTATTGAATCTATTCAGTTACACCATTTTAAAGTCAAAAGTTACTGGAAAATAAAAACAAAAAACACAAAGGCCATAACTAAAGAAGAATGGAATGAGTTTACTAACTGTGTTCTACACTTTTCCATCTCTACTAAAGTTTAAGTAAGTGTTTCAGGATTTATTACTCCATAATGTCTCCTAAAATGTAGTGGTTTAAAGCAATAGTATCTATTTGTTCATGATTCTGGGCAGGGTTTGGCAGTGAGGACTTACCTCTGATCCGTATGGTGTTGGCTGGGGTGGGCTTCCTGGGGCTGGAGAATCCTGGATGGCTTTCCTCACATACCTGGTATCTCAGCTGGGGTGACTGGAACGTCTGGGATGGCCGAGTCTCTCTGCATGGTCTGTCATCATTCAGTAAACAGTCCCGAGCTCTTTACGTGGTGGTTGGATCCTCAGAAGGCAAAGAGCTCTGGAATCCTAGCATGTTGCTCCCAATCTATTCCATTGGTAGAAGCATGTCTCAAGTCCAGGAGGGAGGAGCAACATCCACGGACAGGAATGAGGATTATTGGCGGCCATCTTTGGAGATAGCATACCACAGCCCAGTCTGTGGCCGTAGCAATTCATAGCTGTGTTTTACATGCAAAACGCATTCACCTCATTCCTCAGAGTGAGAATTCTACTACACCAAGGCTCTGGAGCGAAGCCAGAGGTCACCTCCAATACCCCTTTCGCTCTTATGCGGGCTTTTTGGCTAGATCTAGAAACCAAATCGACACCATGCAGCTTAGCAGGAGAAAAGTCTACAGATTTTATTAGTTTTACTCGTACATGTGGATCTTCACAAGAGAGTGAAGTCCAAAGAAGTGGCCAAAGTAAGATGGTTTTATACTTTTTTGACAAAGAACAATAAATCTGAGAAGACATGACAGGACAAAGGGGATCGGTGTGGGGGCAGTCAATTTCTAGGGGAGTCACTAGGAGATATGGAAGGGGTATAAAACTAGTGGGAGATAGGGTTACTTCATTAAGTGTGTTTATTCAGGTCCATGGCAGCCCCCAGTTTCCAGTCTCTGGTGATAAGGGCTATTTTCTCACCCTGGTACGGGTATGGTGGGCTTCTCAGAAGAATCTTGATGGTTTGCTGCATACAGAAAGAGACAGGTCCGCTATCCCTTACTGAACTACAATTTTCCCAGTATTTTCCCCTTGAAATAATCATCAATATACCAACCTGACATATTTTGAGATGGCACATCCTTCACTCCTTCAGTTCAAAATCCAGAGTGTGTTTATTTGCATCGGGTCTGGATCTGAGTGAGGCTCCTCATGTGGGCTTCTCTTTATTGGAAACATGTAAAAAGAGTAGTTACATGCCCCCCTAACACACATGCCAAATGTAAAATGGTAAGATGGGGTAAGATACCTAGAGATACTTTTTTCAAAAGGGGTAAATGGAGAGTAGAAGATTGCCCCCTGGAATGTATGAACCAGGGGAAATAAGGCTCCAGACTGGCTAGCTTGCATATGAAAGCCTGGCTGAGCCATTTTTATCTCTCTCTAGGCATTGGCTAACCCTTTGCGGGGGCAGTCTTTTCCCAGCTGGAAAGGGGTGTGTGTGTGCACGTGCACGCGCTCATGTATGTGTCCATGTGTGCGTCTGTGTGTGAGCATGCATGCATTTTTAATTGATGCATAATAGATGTACATAGTTTTGGAGTACATGTAATAATTTAATACATTATTATAATTTGTAAAGATCCAATCAATGTACTTGGGGAATCTGTCACCCTAAACATTTGTCTTATCTTTAGGCTAGAACCTTTCAAATTCTTCCCTTCTACTTATATTTTTATATGTTATGTTATGTTATGTTACATTATGTTATGTTATTTTTGGAGACAGGGACTCGCTGTGTTGCCCAAGTTGGAGTGTAGTAGTGTGATCTTAGCTCTCTGCAACCTCCACTTCCTGGGTTCAAGCAATTCTCCTGTCTCAGCCTCCCAAGTAGCTGGGATTACAGGTTTGCACCACCATGCTCGGCCAAGTTTTCGTATTTTTAGTAGAGACAAGGTTTCACCATGCTGGCCAGGCTGGTCTCGAATTCCTGACCTCAAGTGATCCACCCACCTTGGCCTCCCAAAGTGTTGGGATTATAGGCATGAGTCACTGCACCCGGCCCCCTTCTACTTATTTTGAAATGGAGAATAGATTATTGTAAATTATAGTCACCCTACTGATCTATCTAATGCTAGGTCTTATTTCTCCTACCAAACTGTATGTTTGTGTCTGTTAACATCTTTTCGTCCACTTCCAACACTTCCCAGCCCAGAAAGCCTTTTTAAAATGTCAAAATGTCATGATATACAGAAAATTCAGAAAATTATATGCAGTACAGAGCCCTTTTGTTTGGCTAAGAAGATCCATAGAGACCCACGACCTGAAGCCATTTCTTACTTGAAGAATGTTGTGAGTGGAGAGACCAACCTTGGATTCTCTACATTTTATCTAAATTCTGCATGAGAACGCAGCAATTCCTTCTTCAGTTTATCTCGTTCTTTGTAACCCTTGTTATATACTGCAAAAACTTGTAATCTGCCTGAAGAATTTCAGCCGGCTTCACAAGTTCATTAGCTGTATTTTCCATGTTCTGTTTTACAGCAGGTGGTACTATTACAAGCACTCTGTCATTACATAATGCAGATGGCCCTTTCTCTAGGCTTCAAAGGAAATTTCCTTACTGTTCTTCCAGCCTTGAATGATACAAGTAGAGGCCAGCCTCCACCATGACCCAGTCCCACATGGCTTTACTTATTCACTTATTAATTTTTTTTGAGATGGAATTCCACTCTGTTGCCGAGGCTAAAGTGCGGTGGTGTGATCTTGGCTCACTGCAACCTCTACCTCCTGGGTTCAAGCGATTCTCCTGCCACAGCCTCCTGAGTAGCTGGGATTGCAGGCACCTGCCACCACACCAAGCTAATTTTTGTATTTTTAGTAGAGATGGGGTTTCACCATGTTGGCCAGGCTGGTCTTGACCTGACCTCAAGTGATCCACCCACCACGGTCTGTCATATGACTTTAGGTAGAATGTTATTGATGTAGAAAGATGATAACACTTAGAAGCTTAGTTCAAGTCACTCTCTAACAACTGGCCTGCTGCCAACAAATGGAAGTTTTCAACTTACTGCCTATGACCTAACTATCGTTGAACTCACAGGCAAGCTTCTAGGAAGAGACCTAGTTTAGAATGTCTTCTGGTAGAGTCATACTGCTCCCGCCAAAGAGAGACCTCTTAGCTGCCTTTCATCTCCCTAATAGCACTAGACTTCTGTACAATGTAAAACCAGTTGGTTTTCTGCAGTTTTGAGACTGATTGTGCTTTGCCTCTTTACAAGGGGGAGATCTGCCTTTGCAAACATGAAGGATAGACGGGCTTTATCTGCTTTGAGAATTGAATGGATTAAAGGTGTTCTGAGACTGATCTTGCAGTTCTCCCTACGCCTGCCTGTCCCTGGCCACGTCCTGTGGGGAAGCAATAATGTTTGGAGGATTCTCACTTCAATGCAGTAGTGGAATTTCTCTTCTTCCTCTAGTTTGTTGGTGGCCAAGTGACTGTTTCTGCAGAATCCCATGCCTTTGGTCTCCACTGGCCAAGAGCCAGGCATGGCCCATGGTCTTAAAGTGCAAGCATGCAGAATTTAGGGTGTTTTGTTGCCTGACTGGCTGCCTTTCACCTTGCCCCTATTCACCTCTCTCAACCCCTAGAGCGGTATGCGTAACAGGTTAGCATTAAAAGGTCCGGGGGAACTTATCTGAAGACCACATTTCTTGGGCACTTAAAGATTAATTTTAGAGGGCCAGGCGTGGTGGCCTGTAATCCTAGCACTTTGGGAGGCCGAGGCGGGCAGATCACCTGAGGTCAGGAGTTTGAGACCAGCCTGGCAAACATGGTAAAACCCTGTCTCTACTAAAAATACAAAAATTAGCTGGGTGTGGTGGCACATGCCTGTAATCCCAGCTACCCAGGAGGCTGAGGCAGGAGAATTGCCGGAACCCGGGAAGCGGAGGCTGCAGTGAGTTGAGATCGAGCCACTGCACTCCAGCTTAGGGGACAGAGTGAGACTCTGTGTCAAAAAAAAAAAAAAACAGGAAAAGATTGTTTTTAGAGTCTGTTCCCCTCCTTTCCCC